TTTTTTGTTCTGCATACTGTTAAATTTATACAAATGTATAAATTTTGTTTCATAAGGATATACTCATTGAGTCTGGTGTTATTGCTTGTGGCTCATGCAATGGAGTGATGTCTGGCAAACAGAGCTAATAAATTAATGTATGAAGCACTTAGTCGTCTGAGATTTCAATCATTTCTTTCTTCAAAGACCAGAGAAGAAGAAGTTGACATTTTAAACCAAGATATTATTTTAACCTATCAGACTTATGTTAATTACCAATGTACAAAGTCCCAGTTGTTTTCTTACTGGAGTGGCTACCTAGAAATGGTGCAATTAATGCTGCTTCATTTAAGAGCAGTTCATACTGGAAATTTGGATCTGCATCTATCTACAGTTCACTCCATGTTCGGATGGTTTTTCGTTACAGATTGTATCAACTACAACAGATATGCATCTTGCTATTGGTTTCGATAGAAATGAGTGTAATTAATCAAACTCATAAAGGTATTGCTTTTTTTTTGTGTGTGTTGAAGTGTTAAGATTAAGTAAAACAGTTTGTTTTACAACAATATATAGTTTACTTACAAGATAATTGTTTTTTGTGTTTTTAAAAACGTTATAGGATTATCTTATATGTTTGATTTTTTGGTAATCAACCTAGAATAATTTCCTTTTTTATGTTTTACAGATATTTTTCATCAAATAAGAGAAAACTGGACAGTTAAAAGACAGGCATCATATGGCTTTGCAGATATTGCATGTGACCAAACTATAGAACAAACTTTTAACAGGAGTAGTAAAGTTACAGGTGGTATTGTAGGTATGACACATAAGCCATGAGCTGTTAAAAGACAGGTGTTAACCCAAGTGGAAAGGACTTTGTTAACTGAGGCAGCTGAGAAATTTGCAGGAGTATCTTTAGTAACACGGTAAACATATTTGTTGTAAAAATCTTTTTTTTTTAATTTATGAAAATACATAATTGATTGAAAGGATATAGTTTTACATTCTAAAGTTTTAAAAAAGTTTTATAATCTAGTTTTTTAAATAGGTTTTTTTAATTTTTTTGAAGAATTGTTCAAAAGTATATTTTTAAACATGATATTTAGTTGTAGAAAATACTTGGATGAATCAAGAATTAAAAAGGATGAAGAGGATGTTACATCAATTCTGGAGACTATTAATACAATGGTAAACCCTTTTGATGAAAACAGAAAGGAACTTCTACAGTTAGCAAGTGGGCAAGTTGCCACAAAAAATACTTCAAGAGATTTATTCAGTCTTTGGGAAATAGGAAAACAAAAAGCTGAGAGTTTTATTAATAAAAATATTCTTTGCAAAAAGCCAGATATATTTTCTCCAATTAAAAAAACGATGTTACATATATTTTCCAACATGCACAATAAAGTGCATACTAAAAATAAAAAAGGGGAAATGGTGGAAAAAAAGAACACCTCAAATTTGTTTGCTAAGTTAATATTGCTGGCAAAAAGCAGAGATATTGACATGAAGGAAGTTTTAAAGTGTCTTCTACCACCTCGTCCCTCACCTTTTGCCACCGCAGACGGAACTTTAGTAAAAACAACAAAAAGTAATTTGTTGAAAATTCTTGAAGAGCCTGTTAAAGATTCCCTGGTGTTGCCAATTGTTGAAATTGGAGCTTTACTAGTGGTTGCGATGGCACTGTTACAAACACTGCAAGTTAGAGTAAAAAACCTTGGTGAGTTAGCTGAATATATATTAAAAGAAATTATTAATCTGTCCAACTCTTATGGGTGTCAGCGTGTTGACTTTGTTTCAGATAAGTATTTTAATTATAGTATTAAAAGTTTAGAACGAGTGAAAAGAATTACTCATGGAACTTTAATTATTCGTATATTAAATAAACTCGTAAATTAAAATATAGTGAAGAGCAATTGCCTCCAATTTCCGATGCATTAGTACAACACATACTAAGATGTAATTATCGAGCTTATATACGGAAACATGCCACTATATCTCTATTGAATATGCCAAGTGTTTCGGAACATGGTTGGATGTTGGATGGCGACGAATTGAAGATAAAATGGCTGTCAAATGAAATTGCTCCCGATTGCGTATTTAATTTTTTTAATTGTAGATGCGCGACTGGTTGTCATACAAAACGATGCTCATGTCGGAGTGCAGAACTGTCGTGTTCTGATTTATATCAATGCATTGAGTGCGGCAATAAAAATTCGAAATTCGCCGAAGACAGCGATGATACTTACAATGGAATAATTTCAAGTGATTCTGACTCTGATAGAGTTAATCAATTATTGTAAACTTTTATATTTGTAAGATAATAAAAATGAATTTAAAGTTAAAGTTAAAAGAACAATTAAATGTATTATCAGTTGTTAAAACGATACTAAATTAAATTTTAGAATTACACGATAAAAATCATTTTACTCTCATATACCTATGTAAATGAATGTATAATTGGTTATATATTAAAAATATTTCATATATTTATATACAATTTAGTATTTATCAAGTCATAGCTGCTAAGAACAGTTTTTAGATAATATTTTATCTTGCACGATAAAAATCGATAAGTTTCCCGAAATCTGCAAGAGGAAAACTTCGGAACTTTTAAAATTCAGAATCTGTATACTTTAAAACGCAAATTCGGAAAAAATAAAGTAGTTCTGAGAGGGAGGGCAAGAAAACTGTTTTCTGATAACATTTTTATATCACGAATCAGGGTCTATATGAAAGATATAAGTTCTTAACTATATAAAAGTTAAGGCCTAATATGGATATTTTAATATGGATTTGTTAAGCTTAATAAGGATTTATTAAGCATTAATAAGGCTATATATAAGGACTAATTTAAGGATGTGAATAATTAATTTAAGGTCCTCAAATTAATTATTTACATTCTTAAATTAATTCTTATATATCCTTATTAAAAATTTTTGTTCTTTCCATCATTTTTGTTTGTTAATCAAAATAAAAAAAACTTCTTATTCGCATCCTTAATAAGGATTATTTCTTATTCATATCCTTAAATTATTTCTTACTTAATAAGGATTATTTCTTATTCATATCCTTAAATTATTTCTTATTGACATCCTTAAATTAAAGCTTAATAAGAATGTGAATAAGAAATAATTTAAGAGTGTGAATAAGTTAATTCTTATTGAGCCTTATTAAGGATTATTTCTTATTCACATCCTTAATAAGCCTTAATTTAAGGATGTAAATAAGAAATAATTTAAGGGTGTAAATAAAAAATAATCCTTATTAAGCCTTAAAGAGGGTTATTTATTATTCACATTCTTATAAGGCCTTAATTTAAGGATGTGAATAAGTAATAATTTAAGGGTGTGAATAAGAAATAATCCTTATTAAGGATGTGAGTTAGAAGTTTTTTTATTTTGAGCAACAAACAAAAATGATGGAAAGAACAAAGATTTTTATTCCATTTAAAGCAGTTATATATTATTATCATAAAATGAACCTTCCTATTTAGCTACTATTAAATTTTCTGATTAAGTGAAAAAAAAAAAAAAAAAAAAAAAAACATCATCGAATTTCATAAAGCAAACGCAAAAATTTATTTATAATTTAGTAAACAAACGCAAAAATCAAAATAAAAAACGTCAAAAAATACGCAAAAAAAAAAAAAGCACACATAATTTTAAAACTAAATTCCTAAGCATCAAACCTTAAAGAAAACAAAATATACTTGATTTAGAGAGAGGGAGGGTTATACTTTGCTTTTAGACAGAGAACCTTTTTAAAAAAAGTTTTTTTTTAACTAAATCAACCTTAACATTTTTAAAGTTTGAGAACTAAAAATTTTTGTATAAATTTGAAAAAGGTTTACCTTTCTATTTGATTCATTATCCTTTTTTTAATCTATATTGAAATTTTCATACAAATTGGATGTGTTTTAGTTCTTAGGAAACCTTACCTTCAAAAGCTACTTTTGAAAAAACGTGTCCGCGGCAACTTTTTTTAGCAAAAGTGGTCTTAAAATATTCATAATATTTAATTGAAGCCATATGAGCCATCGTACTTTCTATATATCGCTAGAAAGAGGTTGAGTAACACTAACTGATGCAAAAAACCTCAAGGTGCTTGCTTAACTGTACAAAAAGATAGCGCCATGGAATGGCTACCTTTGGATTAATTATTAATTAAAAATCTCTTTATCTATAAAACAGATTTTTTTTTCTCTTTTTTTTTTTTTTTTTTTTTTTTTGTATATTTATAGCAATGGATAATTTTTATTCAAAAAAACTCCGTGTCTTACGGAAAAAAGTTTGTTTTAAATATAACTAGCTAATTATTAAATTTGTCGTTAATAATTTTTAGTTTAGTTTTTATTTCAAATCCGAGAACTTTTTTTATTTAAGATGTTAATTTAAAACGCAAACATCTAAGTTGGAATCCTGTTGACAACGTACTGCTTTAAACAAAATTTTATTGATACATTAAATTATATAGACAAAATTTTATTGATATATTAATTTATTAATAAAAAAGTTCTGTTGATATATTAATTAATAAAGATAAATTTTTAATCAAATGTTATCAAATATAAGCAAATACAAAAGTCTATAGTTCATACAATAGTCAAAAAATATGTTTTTAGTATATTTCTTTTCAAAAGTTTGATTCTATAATATATTGTTAACGGGGAAATAAACTTCAAATTAATTAAAACTTGCATTAAGCGAATCTTTTAATTTTTAGACACTATATGTTAACTGTTGTGCAGTTGTGTTGCGTAATAACAAATTTTACACTTTAACTAACAGTACCGTTACGTGTTACGTGTTACGTTACCGTTACGAGTTGCGATAATACTTCCTTAGACACTGTTTTAGACATTTCATAGATTATTACTTTTTTTTATTGTGCAGAGATCTCGCGTTCGCAATAATTTTATACGCTGCTTTGTCATTGATTGATTAAGAAAACAAACAGTTATATATAGACATAGTTAACTATTATCTCATCAAATATTTATCAAAAAATAATCTTTTAACATTTTAAAGTATGAAAGCATAACGTAAAACAAAAAAAATTTGATTTGATGTATGAACGTCTTTAAGAAAACGATAATTTGGTAAGGAATTAATTGTTTAACTAAACTCTAAACAAATCATAAATTTTGTGTGTTAAATTTCATTATTTTTGTAGATCAAAAAATAACAGTAATAATAGCTAACTAATCTTGATCAAAAGGTTCAATCTTATAATCAAAATTAAAGTTGTTAATATTTAATTACAAAAGATTTTTTGCAATAAATAAACATTTATTTTATAATGTTAACTAAAAAAAGATGCTTTACATGACAGCAAGTATAAGTTTTTTATTTGCTGACATGAGTACCATTTAATTTTAATTTTTTTATGCCAAACACAACGACGGCAAAACACCATATTAGGTGATAATTTAATGTTGGCAAATATTTATAAAATAAAATCCTAAAGCATTAAAAACATATGCGTATTTCAGAAAAACATTTTTATTTATGCAGCTTAGTATAAAGAAGCACTATAACTTCAAAAGAATGAACTGCACAACCTTTCGATTATCTATGTTGATTTTTATTTATACATTCCGTCGCATGCTCTTTGGAAGCGCACCTCTTTTAAAAATAGACGGGGATGTTATGATTGGTGGACTAGTCACTCTTCGTGATGCCGGTGCTATAAACAACTTACTATGCAGTAGTAATATAAGTATGTTTGGCATAATGAGAGTAGAAGCAATGCGTTATGCAATCGACAAGGTAACTTTAAATTTTACTTTAATACAATAGCTAAATATGGTATTCTTCTGGTATTCTTCTGGTATTCTTCTGGTATTCTTCTTCTGGCTGATTTTAAATCATTTACATTAGCTCAAAATCAATAACAATTTTTTCTTTACAAAGTTAAAAAATAAATATTTTTCTTAACAGATTAATAAAAATCAAACCCTTCTGTATGGCTTGCAATTAGGAATAGAAATTCGTGACTCTTGCGGTACAGAAACAGTGGCATTGGATGAATCGCTAGAGTTTGTCAATAACAAGGAAATTACATGCAGTAAAAAAATAAATAAGACCTTTTTGGGCGTAGTAGGAGATGGAATGAGCGTATCCACTGCTTCTGCAGCAAGTCTTTTATCACTTTTTAAAATACCATTGGTAAGAACTTTTTGACTTTATTTTTAAAACATACTTATATCCATCTCCGCCTCCGATCGAACGTACTTTATGGGCAATCCCGTACAAAATTACTGATCTATCAAAAGTGTAAAGTGAACAATTAGCGAAAAAAATATTTTACGTTTTGGAAACTGACAACATTTATTACATTAAAAATACTGAAAAAAGCGTTAATCCACTGGGAGTGTAAGTCGCTTTAAAAAAGCGGGAACATTTAGCAAATGCTAGTTTGATAAAACGGGAGTCCACTTTATATTGTTTTAATTTTTTTAATTAAAAAAAAAATAAAAAGTATTTTGATGGTTCAGATATCGGTCAAATAGGCAGTGAATATGAAACGTAAAAATTAAATTACAACTTGCAATTTTCAAAGTAAAGTTTATTTCTTAGCTAAATATTTGAATTTATTTTTATATTTATTTATTGCTGTTATTAAATACTAAATGTTGATAAAATTAAAATCTTATTAAATATTAAATGTTAACATAAATAATAAATATGAATAATGCTTAAACAACAATATTTTACAAGCTTACTTTAAAACGTTTTTAAAATTTGCAATTTTATAGATATCTTATGGAGCAACAAGTATTGAACTTTCTGACCAATCAAAGTATAGTTTTTTACTTCGAACGGTTCCTGATGATTCATACCAATCAATTGCTATGTTAGATTTTATACAAAAAAAATTGAATTGGAAATCAGTATACGTTCTTTACTCAACTGGATCATATGGAGAATCCGGATTTATGTCACTTTTAAAAGCGAGTGAAAATTTTACAATTAGCATCGTGGATCAAAAAAAGATTGTCCCAGCAGCATCAGTGAATGATATAAAAAAAATTATTAAAGAATTTTTTAGATATCAACCAAACATCACTGGGATCCTTTGTTTTTGTGAAATTCCAGACACAAAAAACATTGTTCAAGCAATAGAAGAAGAGAACCTTGCCTCACATTACCGACTAGTTGGCAGTGATACATTCAACCAAGTAAGATTAAATAACACCGTTAGTTTTTCACTTTATTACAATAGCTCAGTAAAAGAAGATTTTTACTCTAATTGGTATTCTTACCTGACTCCTCATAATTTTACTAGCGTCGATTCATACAACATTGCATACAGCAATATGTTTATGAATTTTTGGAAATCTGCATGCCAAGAAAACGTCCGCCGTTTAAATACAAACTTTAATTGTAGTGACTATAACAATACCTTATTTAAATTTTGCCTGGACTCTACTATTGAAGAAACTTGCCAAAGAGATGATATTTTACCATACACAATTGATGCAATTTACGCGTACGCGTACGCAATACGCAACTTAATTGAAAAAGATTACAGTGGCAATGTAACAAAGTTCAATGATGAACGACAACATATTGATGATCACTTAACAGGACGTATCTTTTTTAATCATCTAAAAAATGTTTCTTTCAATGGGAGCACAGGATTTGTAAAGTTTCCAGTTAATGCCCGTTATGGAATTTATTATAATATTCATGGGATATTAAAACCAATTGGTATGTGGCAATCAAACACAGAAGAACGGTTAAACATGTTTAATGAAAACTTATCTGATTTTGAAAAAACATTTTTTAAATCTAGTTCGTGTCAAATCCAATGCAATACAAGTGATGGAGAAAAAAAAAAATTTACTTCCTTAAACAATTGGTGTTGGAAATGTGAAAAATGCGAGTGCAACCAGTTTATTAAAAACAATGAATGTAAAAGTTGTGAAAAAGGAAGTGTACCAAGCGTAAATCGCGAATATTGTGAAGAGCTTCCTTTAAAGGATATGCCTAAAGAGTGGTATTATATTATTTCAACGTTGAGTATTACAGGTTTTCTGTTTACATTTGCCACTATTATTACATTTCTAAAACATAATTCAACGCCAATTGTTAGAGCGTCTGGAAGAGAAATCACGTATTTAATTTTAAGCATAATTATGGTTCTGTATTTGTTGCCTTTTTTTTTGTTAGTTTCGTTAACACCACCAATGTGTAAAGCATTTCGATTTGGAGTTGGAGTATGCTTTTCAATATTATATATATCTTTGTTCACCAAAACAAATCGAATAGCAAGAATATTTTCAGGACGTCAAGTACTTTTGTTTGTTTCTCCTCATTGGCAACTTCTACTAACCTTTTTATTTCTATCACCACAGATATGCATTTCATTGTATGGTTATATACGAAATAAACACGTTTTTATTGATAACTGTTCAAATCGTTATAAGATTTGTAACTGCTATAATGACACAAATGATTTTTACATTACAATTGCATATAACTCGGTGTTTATAGCCGTGACTACGTTTTATGCTTTTAAAACACGCAAAGTTCCATCAAACTTCAACGAGTCACGCTACATTGGATTTGTTGTGTACATTTCTATTGCAATATTATTAACCTTTTTGCCAATTTTTTTAAGTTCTTCAATTGAGTTTAAGACAATTTCAGTAATGTTAGACACGATTATAGTTGCTACAACATTTCTAATTGGTCTTTACGGTGTTAAGATGTATATTATATTGTTTAGACCAAACAAAAATAAAAAAGCACGTTCAGTCACGTTCTTTTATAGTAAATCCGAATCTTCAATTGGAACTGTTGTGATTGAAGATAACAAATAATTGAACATGCAAATGAAACCTCAAAGATGTTAATTAAAATTTAAATTCAGAAAAATTGTTTTAATAACAATATATATATATATATATATATATATATATATTATATATATATATATATATATATATATATATATATATATATATATATATATATATATATATATGTATGTATATATATATATACATATATATATATATATATATATATATATATATATATATATATATATATATATATATATATATATATATATATATATATATATATATATATATATATATATATGTATATATATATATATATATATATATATATATATATATATATATATATATATATATATATATATATATATATATATATGCGCTGTAGCTTAAGAAAATTATACACACAGTGTACAATTTTCTAAAGTAACAGCGCTTGAATATACATACGTACATACATATATACATACACATAAACTGGCGTAGGAACAAGGGGGCGGTTTTAATTTTTTGTTTTAGCTCCCCTCCCCCATCCCCCTACTTTTTTGACTTTCCTACGCCACTGCATGCATACATACATATATACTTAGTACATACATACATACATACATACATACATACATACATACATACATACATACATACATACATACATACATACATACATACATACATACATACATACATACATACATACATACATACATACATACATACATACATACATACATACAAAGGATGTTAAAAATCTTTTTTATAAAAAGGAGTAAAAAAGAGATGTACAAAGGAAGTATAAATTTATACTATTTATATTATCAAAACTATGTTGAACTATGACAAATTTATTCAGATTGAATAATTTAACTTACCTAACTTGGCTGTTTTTTATAAAATTAACTTGATTTAAGGGCATGTAACCACGGACGATTTTAAAAGAGGGTGTGACCACCCAGTTTTTTTACCTTATAGTTGGCTTTTTTAGAAATATAGTTAATTAGATTGCATTTGACGCATTTCAATTGGCAGATTTTTAGCTTTGTGGATCTTCTTTAAAACGCAGTCGGCACTTTTTATGGATTTATTTCCTCCCTTCCTTTCCTCCCTCATTTTGTTCTAGAATTGCTCCAGTATAAAATCTTTGAAATATTTAAATAAATATATAAAAAGTTATAGTAATAAGGTTCAACCTCATTAAAACTATATTTAAACAAATATATGTAAATTTATTATAAAAAAGGCAGTTATTTATAACAAGAAAGGCAGATTTATATTAATGCATTAATAAGAGAATTTATTTTTCTATTTTTACAAAATCTAGGGATATGTTAAGACTAACCTATTGAGACTAAGTTCAAGGCAAAATATTTGTTGACCAAGACCTTTATTGAAAAATTAATATTCAATATTTATGTCAAGATCACATTTAAAATTCTGCTACAATGTCGAAATATGTTTTGAATATGAAATATGTTTATAACCAATAAGTAAAAAAATTAGTTAACAAAATAAGCAATAAACAAAATATTTTCTTTATTTAATTTTACAAAAATTATTCTAATTATAAATTTCAATATTTTAGCACTAGAGGCTTTCAAAAAATCATCAGTAGTGCTGTTTTTGTTATAATAACAACAAAATATAATTTTTTTAAAAAAACAGGAAATGATAATTATTTAATGTTGCTGTTAGCAACTATTGTAATCTATATTGTAATGTCAATTAAAAGTATCAAGCTTTTGGTTGTGAAAATGCCTCTCGGTTTTTTTCATTTTTTAGCTTCACAAACACAAAAAGCTGGAAAAAAGGTTCTATAATGAAGTTATGCGCACGTTGACAATTGTATACATGGTTATCAAATCTATCTGTTGATTGCCCAGTTCTACAACTAGAAATGTTAAACGTTGTTTTTCTTTATTGTAATTAGACGTGAAAACAATTATTCTTTTAGCAAGGCCATAAGGGATGTTCTTTTTTATATGATATGGATGATGGCTGTTGTAGTTTAAGTAGTCGTGAGTATTGGTTTCTTTATAATAAATATCCGTTTTTATTTTTCTGTTGTTTTCAAGAATGATAGATATGTCTAAAAAATTAATAATATTATAAGTATTACCATCTATTATAAATTCTTTGCCCATATCTGTTGTAAAACTGATTAAATTATCTATTTCGGTCAAAGAGTTTTTAAACTTAACGATATCTAAGTCTTTTGGCCAGATTAAGAAACCATCATCAATATATCTATAATAAAATTCCTGTATGTCATTTACATCTTTACTGGAAAAGTATTTAGATAAAATTTTAGGAAAAAGTCTCGTTTCTTCTAAATATCCAATTGTTAGGCATGCATAATCTGGAGCGAACTTCGTACCCATGGCTGTTCCAATAATTTGGATCTGATCTGATTACAATAAAGAAAAACAACGTTTAGCAGAACTAAAAAAGTGGCTAAAAGAATGCGAATATCCTAATAATATTTTTGAAAAAGCATTTCACAACGCGAAACTCCAAGGACCAGCTCCCCAAAATCAATCAAAAAAAATTTTTCCTTTAGTTACAACTTTTTACAGCAATCTGAACTGCCAACCTTTTATTACTGAAACAAATCTTTTGCTTAATCTATCTTCATATGAAAGAGTGAAAGAAGTTTTTTCTAATGTCCAACCAGTAATTCCGTATAAGCAACCACCCAATCTACTGAGCACTTACTTATTCAAAAATTCAATCAACCAGTAAAGAAGTAGGATTATTTAAATGTAATGATAATCGTTGTAAAATATGTAACTTCTACCTTCAAGAAGTTAAATCATTTACGACATCAAATGGTACTATATGGAACATAAAAAGCCATATTACTTGTAATAGTAAGAATGTAATATACTATCTAAAATCATGTAACAAAGCTACATACACCGGAAAAACAAATAACCTACGACTTCGCACTAATGGGCACATTTCTAGTTGTAGAACTGGGTGATCAACAGATAGGTTTGATAACCATGCATACAATTTTCTTTTTTTAATTTTACAATAATTAGAGTAATTTTTGTAAAATTAAAAAAAGATAATATTTTGTTTATTGCTTATTTTGTTGACTAATTTTTTTACTTATTGGTTATAAACATATTTCAAGTTATATATATATATATATATATATATATATATATATATATATATATATATATATATATATATATATATATATATATATATATATATATATATATAATATATATATATATATATATATATATATATATATATATATATATATATATATATATATATATATATATATATATATATATATATATATACATATATATATGTATATATATATATATATATATATATATATATATATATATATATATATATATATATATATATATATATATATATATAATTATGAAGGCTTTATTATTGATTAGTTTTGTTGTTATTTTTATATTTTTGCAGACAGTAACAGCCTGAAAGAGTTTAAGGACTGCAACAGCTTGAATAAGTTTAAATACTGCAACAGCTTGAAAGAAATTCAATCAAAAAAAGTTCAATCAAATTAGTAAAAAAAAAAAACAATTTTTCAATTAATTTACAAATATATTTTAACTTAATTAAGTTTACATTATATTATATATGAAGACTTCACGGGAAGAAACGGCAGGGTCACACTTTGAAAACTTTGACATTTTACACTTTTTAACTTTATAAACAATATTATTATACATTTTATTTGAATTCAAATCAAAAAAACAATTAGATGTACCTTTATAGTTTGATGGAACTTAATCACTTTTTTTTATTATACAATACATACCTCCCCGAAAAAACAAGTGTTTATGAATTTAAATAATATTCGCAACTTACTAAGAGACATAAACCAAGTTTACCATTTTTATTTTTTAAATTATCAAGACTTATACTTACGGCTATAAGTCTTTGTTTTTCAAAATAATCACAGGTGATTTGGTTAATGTAAATTAAATAATAAAAATGGCGATATTTGAAATACCAATAAAAATGCTAAAGAAATCCAAGAAAAAAAAAAGTAAGGAAAGATTGCGTGAAATTATAAAGAAACAAAGATTATCATCGCATAAAACAGGGCTTGGATGTAACTGTATAAGGCTAAAATGTTTTTATAATGTTAAAGAAGAAGATAGAAAAGTGTTAATAAGATATTTTAACTCTCTATCCAGCAAGGATGCTCAAGATTCGTATCTTGCAAATTTAATAACTTTAAATAACGTTTCAAGAAGAAGACCACGAAACATTAATTCAAAAGGTTATAATAGCAGTTACACATATAAACTTTTTATTACAAATCACGAGATATTTGCGAGTTCGTTTGTTTATGTTTGCTTTTCTGCGTTTATTTCAATCTTTGGCATAAAGAAGGGAAGATTGGAGACCATTAAAAGAAGCCTTTTAACTACATGTAAATTATATATTTTTATTGAATACAAAATGACTATTTTTAGTGGAAGTTATCTTATATATAAGTTTTTTTATATATAATTTTTTTTTTTCATTATAGGTCACTCTTCCTATGATAAAAGAGGTAAACACAAGAATCAGTATAACAATTTTACTCCTCAACTAAAAAATAAAATATGTGATCACATTTCTTCTTTCAGAGGTAGAGAGTCCCACTACTCTCAAAAAAAAACTAGGCGACTATATCTTCCTCAAGAATTAAATATAACCAAGATGACTTGTTTAAAATCAAGTATGCAAATGATAAATTGTCATATGAATCTTATCGCAACATATTTAACACTAGTTTTGACATTTCTTTTGGGTACCCTAGGACTGACACATGTTCAAAATGTGATGAGTTTAAAATTAAAATTGATGCAATAAAAATTGAACTATCTTTTAATTCAGAATGTACAAAGCCTGAACAACAATTGCATGAGCTTGAGTTACTGAAAAAACAGCACCACAAAGATGCAGAAACATTTTATGTCAGGAAAAGAAATGCTTGGTTTAAAGTACAAAGGGAGTACAAATTTGAGGCAATTGCTTTTGATTTCCAAAAAAATCTTAACTTACCAAATCAATCAACCAATGACTTTTACTACAAACAAAAATTAGCATTTTATTCATTTAATATTCACGTGCTTTCAAGTAATAAAGTTTATTTGTATTGTTATGATGAAACTATTACTAAAAAAGGGGCTGATGAGGTAACTTCGATGTTATATGATTTTTTTATAAAACATTTAGACAAAGAATTTCGATCTGTAGAGCTATTTTGTGATTCATGTGGTGGCCAAAACAAAAACTATACATTAATTCGTTTTATGGATTTTCTTGTACATGAAAAAAAAAGGTTTGACTATATTAAAGTTACATTTCCAGAACGTAATTATTCTTTTATGGAATGTGATAAAGATATGGGATTAATTAATTGCAAAACACCCACTAGTGATCCATCAGATTGGATTAAAACATTCAAAAATGCTTGTAAAAACCCCACTCCGTTTCATGTTATAGAATTAACGCAAGGTATGGTTAAAAGTATAACTAATTTTATAAGACCATTGTATTTCATCGTGATTCGTGGAATGGATTATTGGTGATTGGTGGAATGGATTTGAAAACTAATTTAAAAAATAATAGGAAGAACACTATAAATAGTGAGATCCCCATTCTGTATAATGCAAAACTTTGCATCTCTGTGGCAAAGTACAGAGATTTACAAGTATTAAAAAGGTTTACATCGAATGCTCAGTTTTTTGATTCTTTGCCATACAATCAGGAGGTTATTGAAACATTTCATGAAATTATTGATTCGGAAAATGAAGAGTAAATAGACTTCTTTTTTGATTTAAAGTTTGTTTTTAGTTATTTTTTTCTTAGTGTTTTTTGAAAAAATCTATAATCTTTAATGTTTCTTCTTTGCACTTAATATACAACAATTTATATAATTAATAATCCCAAGGTATTGAATATATCTTTTGACTATTAGGCAGGGTATGAAAATAAAAATTCAGATCAAATAAATTCTGAGTTGTTTGAAAACCTATAAAGTTTTAAATCCCCTTTATTATCAGGAAAGAAACTTTGCATTAACTAACTTTTTGTTTACAGTTTTGTGACACCTATATAGGTATAGCTATATAGGTATTTAATAGGTTAACCTTTAAATAAAAAACAAATTGAACTTTTTTATCAACAGTGATATTTTTGAATGAAAGATTTATAATAAGAATTAAAGTCATTCGTAAACAAAAACTAGAACTAATACTATAATCATTTTCTATACAAAATATCTACAGACAACTCTTGATATCTCGAACCTGCAAGGGACCGATTAACTAGTTTGAGATAAAAGAATTTTTGAGTTATCGAGAGTATAATCCATAAATAAGGGTTCGACTGGATTCAATAAAGTTCGAGATATCAAGTTTTAAAGATATTGAGAGTTGACTGTAAGTGATATTTTTGTGCACGAAAAAAGAACAAAAATGAAACCTTTTGTTCACGAAAACTATAATTATTTTCTAAACGAAAATATCAACACTAAACAGTATTTTTAATTTTAGTTCAACCCCCTAATCTTTTAAATGATCAATATTTGGTCTTGGTGGTTAGGTTGTTGATAAAATTAGCTTCTGCCTAATTTAATTTACAAGCTAATAAAAAATAATTCATACTTTAGCTTTTTACTTGATCTTAAAACTAATAAAATAAAACATTTTACCGGGGAAAAAACGGCAGAGTCCACAAAAAACCTCACTTAAAAAAGAAAGTATATTACGTGAATTTTTATTTTTAAATTAGAACAATTTTTTATGCAACTTTAATTGCATAAAAAATTGGTTATTTCTGTAATATATCTTTAAAATTTTAATTTTTTCCCTAAAAATAAAAAAGTTATATAGGTTTAAAAGTTTAAAAATGAGTTATCGCAAAATGAGAAAATGTGACCCTGCCGTTTCTTCCCGTGGAGTCTTCATATTTATAAATAACTCAGATTATAACCTGGAAAATTACTAGCCGGGTGTGTAATAAATATATGCATAAAATAAAGAAATAGCAGAGTTATTAATAAAGAATATCGAAAAATTAAAACCTGAAAAATATTGTTTAGGCCAAACGTAAAAACAAATTAACACGAGCATGAGCAGTTCTGTCAAACTTGTATTTAAATTAAAAGTTGACTAGTCGTTTATGAAATGAAATTAGTTGACTTTGAAAAATCAAATAATCAATTGATTCTATTCTAGCTATGGGCTTCCTACTAATTGACTAAAAGTCAATATAATCGACTAAAAATTTATAAATCCTTATATCTTTTCATTCAATTTAACTTTTCAATCTATAATTTTTGTTTGATCATTTAATAACAGTAACATGTAGTTCATCTAAATCATCACGCGTAAGCATTATTTATACCTAACTAAATTTTCGGTTATGAATTTTTTTTTTTTTTTCTTTATTTACTTGATGCTTGTGATTTTCATAAATACTCATACAGGGTCGTTCCAAATTGGCTAGGGGCCCTGGGGAAAATTAAGTTGGGAAACTCCAAAATTTAAATGTCATCTGTACATTCGCATTGTAAATATGATTATATAGACTTTTTGAAATTTAGCAAGTATTTAAGGTGGTCTCAAAATCTTTGGGGTGTGGGAATAAAATACCCCGTTGTCGGAGCGACGCTTCTCTGATATTGTTTTGCTCCATTATTATTTAAATGATATGATGTTAAAAAATAAAATACGAAGATAAATAATTTTATTTAACTTTATTTCAAAAAAAATAAATTATTCTCATATTTGAAATCGACTAAATTGACTTTTAGTCGATTTCAAAAATGTTTTAGTCAATTTTAATCGACTTTCAAAAAAATATTAGTTGATTAAGTTGACAGTCTAGTTATTTAAAAGTTGTAACAACACTAGTAGAAACTGTAGCTGAGCAAATAGCTGAAACTCTTTACGAATGGGTTGTGAATTATGATGCTAAAGACTCTTTAGTTAACATTGGTACGGAATCAACAAATTTAAACACTGGTTTGAAAGGAAGTGTTATTTACTATCTTGAACATAAATTGCTTTCAAATTATCAAATATAACTTTATGGAGTTAATCATGCAAATAATGCTGAAGTTTTTCCAGACAAGAAAAATAAATTTAAAGGAAAAGAAATTGGGCCATATTTGCATGCAAGATGGTTAAATTTTGCAAATGGAATATGTTTACCTTGGTGCTCGAAAATCTGGTTTGAAATCAAAGTAAAGTGGAAGGGGACTAAGGAACCTAACCATATACTCAAGCAATTAAAACTTCTTTGTCGTCAAAGGCTTAGAGCTAAAGATATTGTAATGCCTTATGTTTTAACCTTTTTATGGAATACTCATTGTCAAAATGCTCTTTAAGCGTTATTATGTAGTCTAGAAAAAATAGTAAGGCAATTTGCAGTTAAAAAAATGTTAAAATTAAGACGTTCAGAATATGAAAATACTAATGTAAGAAATAGAAAACATATTCATGATGAAAATGCTGATTCACTTTTTGATCTAATTTATTGGAATTTGGATGTACACAAAGATTTACTTACATGTTTATTGTCAAAAAATGAACTTTTATAAAATACTCCGATGTATGTACCTAGTTTTCTTGCTCATGAGCAAGCTATTGAAAGATGTGTCAAGAAGTCACAAGAGCTTCTCTATTGGTATTTGGAAAAGATAGCAGAAATGGGTTCATTAGAGCAATATTAGCTTATCGAAAAATCATGCCCGTAAATCAATCAAGAAAAGATTTATTTAATCTAATTGAAGCAATATAAATTTTTAGTTGTTTTATTTTGCTTTAGCTTATTATTTATAATCATATTTAAAAAAATTTAAAGCTAAAACTTAATGGTCCTAATGAAATGCGATTAAAGAGATACAAGCTAATGTATCTCTTTAATCGCATTTCATTAGGACCATTAAGTTTGTTGGCTTCTAAAAAGTTTTTGAATTATGGTAGAAACTATCTTTATATTAATACTGTAAAAATTCAATGTTCAATCTTCAATGTCGTTTCGCTTTCGTTTTTAAAGCAGTTTTAATTAGTTAATAGGCTTATCTGAACATGAAACAGCGCGTTCTTTAAATGCACGCGGTTATTTTATAGAGAAAGATCTATCAAGCGAGTTAAAACTCTTTACCTTTGGAATTTATTAGTTTAGAAATATTTCATAAAGAATCATAATAAGACAAATAATCATCGTTAAGATCATATAATAATTGAAGTAAGTATAGAAAATAGTTTAGCAATTTATATATAACATTTTTATTAGAAATAAAGTAGAAAAGATCACTCTCTTTAATTTTTTAAATCGTTTACATTTTGTTTGTTTTAGTTTTTCTTTTGGCTTTATTTTTTCTAGCAGTTTTATTTTTGGACATTATTATTATTATAGTTGTAGCCGTAAATTTACATAGAATGTACACATACAGCGAGCAGGGGAAACACCCCACTATAAACAACCAGTTTTATAAATATTTGTTCCAAACTTTTTCCACAACCAGGAGTCTAGTCTATTTTTGAAAGAAAGTACAGTGGAGTACAAAGTTATTTGCTCTGGTAGATTGTTCCAGTATTTTGCTGATCTATTATACAAATGATTATATCTTGGAAGACAGTTTAGAACATACTCACGCCTTATTTTAGAATGGTGACCACGAGACACGGAGTTAATATATTTTGGTAGATATTTATCATTAACTATATCAAAACGATGTATTAATTTAAAAATTTGGATTAAATCGCATCGAAGGCGTCGAAACTCAAGTGATGGTAGGTTTAATCTTTTTAGCCTTTCGCAGTATTGAAGATGCCTCAAGCTGTAAGCCCATTTTGTAGCTTTGTGTTGAACAGATTCAACCAAAGCCATATCAGCTTTTAAAAAAGGAGCCCAAATGGACACTCCATATTCAAGATGTGGTCTTATAAATACTTTATATAATTTGAGAGCCATTTTTTCATCAATGAAAGTGAATGTCTTTTTCAGCATACCGAGAATTTGTAAGGACTTAGAGACAACTGTTTGAATATGAGCGCTCCACTTGAGGTTAGATGTAAAAATGACTCCTAAATCACGTTCTTTAGTAGAGCTTCTTAGAGATTGGTTGATTCCTTGGTTATTTTGAAGAAAGCAATTGTAATGGGGGTTGTTTCGACCGTAATGAATGACGCAGCATTTTGAAGTGTTTAGCTTAAGTAACCAAGTGTTTGACCACTCGTATACCAAGCGTAGACGATCCTGCAGATCAACAAAATTAGATTGCGATAAGGTTTTAGAAAAAAGTTTAGTATCATCGGCAAATATCTCAGAAGTTTCAGTGAGTTTTGCGAGATCATTTGTGTAGAGAATGAAGAGGAGCGGGCCGAGAACAGAACCTTGAGGAACACCACTGAGAACATCAACCCATGCAGAGTTGGTATTGTTAATTGTAACGCGTTGCTTTCTGCCCACTAAAAAAGATTTAATCCATTGTAGGAGTTTGCCGTTTATTCCGAAAGATCTTAATTTTAACAAAAGTCTGTTGTGAGGTACAGAGTCAAACGCTTTGGCAAAGTCAAGATAGATTACATCAATAAATTGGTGAGATGCTATGGAGGACGAAATGATATCAAAAGTTTCTATTAGGTTAGTTACGCATGATTTATGATAAAGGAAGCCATGTTGATTTGCAGAGAGCATTTTATTATCGTTAATGTGCTTTAAAATTTTTTTCTTTACAAGTTTTTCAAAGATTTTACAGGCAACAGATGTTAGTGAAATAGGTCTATAGTTTTCAGCAAGTAATTTATCTCCCTTTTTTTTATAGATCGGACTAATATTTGCTAATTTCCATTGAGTGGGTACTACTCCAGAATTAAAGGATTTATGAAAGATTTTTGTTAATGGAATTGCAAAGCTTTTGGCACATATCTTGAGTATTAAGGGATGCAAGCCGTCAGATCCGAAGGATTTATAAGGCTTTAGATCGGCAAGTTCCTGAATAATATCTGAGATAGAGAAATCCAAGTTTTCATTATAAATGCATTCAGAAAGAATACCACTTTTATTTAGCAAAGGAAAATTTTCAGAGCTTTCAAGTGTAAACATAGATTTAAATTGAGAGTTCAGAAGATCAACTATATCAGGAAGAGCTTCAATAATTCTGCCTGAAGTATCTTTGAGAGAGCGAATTCTATCTTTAATTTTTAGTTGTTTGTTGATATATTTGTAAACGATTTTTGGGTTGTTTGGGATTTTGATATTATTTCTTTTTCATGTGCTTTTTTTGCTTTAAATATTTCAGTTTTTACTGAACGATTAAGGCGATTGTATTTTATTTTAAGCTCACTATTCTCCCATTTGGTAGAGCAGTTTATATGCCAAGCGGATTTTTTTTCTCGGATCAGGTTTTTAATATGTGGGGTAACCCAAGGATCATACTTTTTTTTTATTTTATTAATCTTGGGAATAAAATATGTGCAAGCAGTGCGATAGTTAGAAATTAGTATATTGAACATTTGATCTGCAGTTTTATGCAGGAATAAAAACTCCCAGTCGATTGATGCAATAAAGTTAGATATTGAATCGTAATCACCTTTTTTGTAATTAAACGATTGAGATTCACTTTCGGTAAACAGTTCTGAAACTAAGAATCTCCAAGTGATACTAAAATGACCCTTAGTGGTGTTACCTAGTATAGTACAAGGAGACAAGTTTAAAATAGAATTACTGTTGTAGGTAAATAACAAGTCCAACATATTATTTGAGGAACCATAATCAGTCTGGAAAGTAGGAAATGTGATATGTTGAGTAAAAAGGCTGTTTTGGAAAATATTCCAGAAATCATACTCGGTAGGATTGTTTGGGTTAAAAGATTCAATACCATCGTTAGACCACTTTATATTCGGGAAGTTAAAGTCACCGACAATCAAACAGTCATCATAGGGCTTTTTAATTAAAAAAATAGTTTAATTTAATAAAAAGTTTTATTTTTAATGAGCATATCTTCTTTTTTTTAGAAAGAAAATAGGTATAGATGAGGCCTAATAATTTTTTATGCATTTTTTCATGCAACAAAAATGTTATACGAACGCTATTTCAATAAAATTGGTTTTTACTACCTTGAAGTTTCTGTGATGCTTTTAACTGTTTTTGCTCTTTTTATATAAAATTTTAATTTTAATTAAAGTTTAGAAATTTTATTTAAAATTTTAGAAATATTTGAAAATTTTATTTAAAATTTTAAAAATATTTGAAAATTTTATTTAAAATTTAGAAAAATTAATTGAAATTTTGTGCGACTGACATGTCATATGTTATTGTATGTAACACTGACATTTCACATGTTATTGTATGTAAAGATTAAATTTTTGTTAAGAGGATTCAGTTCTTATGAAAAAAAAGGTAAAGAGTATTGTTTGTATATATATACTTACATTTTGTTTACTTCGAATCTTTTTAAATTTTCTCATTTTAAAAATTTTTGTTTCTACAATTCAAGTTATATATGTTTATTTTGCTTTGTTTTGTTTTTTTGATAAGTATGTGTATATGGTAATATGTACTTTATAGTTGTTTCATCAATGTGTTTTTATAATAATGTAACATGGTTTTTTATTGTTTGTGTATGTGTTATACAATTGTTTTATAAATGTGTTTAAAATGTTTATAGAAGGTTAAATATATATATTGTGTTTATAGTTAGTACATATTTTTATATTATGTTGTTTTCATGTTTTCAAAGTGCTGTGACTTGGTAAATGTGTAGAGCAAGATTTGTCAACCTTGCCAGCCAAGTCATGTACTGCAGAGGGTTACACAGCAGTGTTTAGTGTCAAACTGTTACTGCTTTAGGTCGAGGTACTCTCAAGCCTTTATTATTATTTACTCTAAAATTACATAATAATGTACTTTAATAACATTTTGCATAATGTTGTTTCTTATGTTCTGTTATATATGAATGTTATGTTTCTTAAGTTATGTTATATGTATGTTGTATTAACTTTTGGTGAATGCTATTGTTGTTGTGATGTTGTTTTTTTGTAATCTTTTGAATTAATATACATTTGGTTTACCCTCAAATTGTTGACTATGGCTAAAAATGATAAATAGGTAATTTCATTATTAGACCTTCTGCTCTTAGTCATTCACTAAAGCCTACTACTCTGCATTATATATATATATTCACTAAAAGCCTACTACTCTGCATTATATATATTCACTAAAGCCTACTACTCTGCATTATATATATTCACTAAAAGCCTACTACTCTGCATTATATATATTCACTAAAAGCCTACTACTCTGTATTATATATATTCACTAAAAGCCTACTACTCTGTATTATATATATTCACTAAAAGCCTACTACTCTGTATTATATATATTCACTAAAAGCCTACTACTCTGTATTATATATATTCACTAAAGCCTACTACTCTGCATTATATATATATTCACTAAAAGCCTACTACTCTGCATTATATATATTCACTAAAAGCCTACTACTCTGTATTATATATATTCACTAAAAGCCTACTACTCTGTATTATATATATTCACTAAAGCCTACTACTCTGCATTATATATATTCACTAAAAGCCTACTACTCTGCATTATATATATTCACTAAAAGCCTACTACTCTGTATTATATATATTCACTAAAAGCCTACTACTCTGTATTATATATATTCACTAAAAGCCTACTACTCTGTATTATATATATTTACTAAAAGCCTACTACTCTGTATTATATATATTCACTAAAAGCCTACTACTCTGTATTATATATATTCACTAAAAGCCTACTACTCTGTATTATATATATTTACTAAAAGCCTACTACTCTGTATTATATATATTCACTAAAAGCCTACTACTCTGTATTATATATATTCACTAAAAGCCTACTACTCTGTATTATATATATTCACTAAAAGCCTACTACTCTGTATTATATATATTCACTAAAAGCCTACTACTCTGTATTATATATATTCACTAAAAGCCTACTACTCTGTATTATATATATTCACTAAAAGCCTACTACTCTGTATTATATATATTCACTAAAAGCCTACTACTCTGTATTATATATATTCACTAAAAGCCTACTACTCCCCAGTGGGCATTTCGACGTCGAACGAACGTCGAGCGACGTCGGATCTCGACGTCGGATCGACGTTGGGTTTACGTTGGAAATGGAAATGTTATTTGACGTCGGATAAACTGACATCGCGCGACGTCGGCATTCCGATGTAAATCCAACGTGTTTTTTGAAAACTAAAAAACGTTGCCTCATGCAGGAATCGAACCTCGGTCTATTAGAAACTATATGCTACGCGCTAACCACTACACCACAGGAACATATTATATAATACGTTTATTTAGTAATTTATACTTGTAGCTATTTGGGAATTATTACTTTGATAAGAAATAATTTTGTTTAAATATTATATAAATATTAAAACGAATAGTTATATATTATAAAAAATGTATACTCGAAAATGTTAATAGTTAAAAAACTATGCTAGTGCATCATACAAAACCTCATGATGTTTTATCAACCATTATTCAAACTTCTTTCCATTAATAAAAAACACGCTTAGTTCACATATTTATTGAAGAGCGCAATTGCACACATATTGTTGGGTTTGGATTAAATTTTCATCAGCGATGTCTTACGACGTTGTTCCGACGTCGTTATAAGGACGTTGGATTGACGTCGGAAGACGTCAAAAGACATCGGAGTACGTTAATATTATGACGTTGCCCGACGTCTTTTTATCGACGTTGGATCGATGTCAGTACTGCGACGTTTTTTGGACGTCTTTTACAAGATGTTGGAACAACGTCAAAATACATCGAAACGACGTCAGGGGATGTTGAGATAAAGACATCGCCCGACGTCATTTTACTGACATCGGAACAACGTCGGAATAGGTCTTTTGACATCGCTGATGAAAATCGTACGTAAATCCGACGTCGGATTGACGTCGGGTGCCCACTGGGTCTGTATTATATATATTCACTAAAAGCCTACTACTCTGTATTATATATATTCACTAAAAGCCTACTACTCTGCATTATATATATTCACTAAAAGCCTACTACTACTATTACTCTGATAAATCACAACAGCTTTTCTTTTTCAAGTACAATGATTTCCGTTCTTTGTATGTAATGTTTTTCTTATTTATTTACTTATTTGTTACATTTTTTTATTTAAGATTTATCAAATGATGTATTTATGTGGTATAGAAGAACAAAATATTGTTAAGTTTTGTGAATTTTTTAAAAATGTTTGCTTATAATTTTTTCAAAGAAATAATATTGAAGTTTGCTAAAAAGGGTTTACAACGTTTTTTAATTTATTTTTATTTTTCTATATTAGCAGTATTTTTATTATTAGAATAAGAATTATTTGCTAATATATTTATTTAGATTAATTTTTTTTAATCATAATAAAAAAATTTAGAAGATAATTTTTTGTTTAAACATCTTTTTGCTGATATGTTTTTGTTTTTTTTTTAAAGTTATGAGATTATTGTATAATCTATTTTAAATGTTTCTTATATTTAAAAATTATTTGTGTCTGCTATTTAGAGTAAAAAAAATTATATACAAAAGATCACAATCTTCAAGATTCTTTTAAAATTTTTGTTAATACTTTTAATCAAAAGTGAAGTTTATAAGGATGATACTAGAAGCAGATATTAGTTTAAAAAATGGAAATCTTATTAGGCAAGTCAATTGTTGCAGAAATGAAAAAGATAGGCTCAGGCGAGATAAAATTAATAATCTACAAAATGCTAGATATGCTGCTCGGCAAGCAGCAAATACTTTGAACTGAAATGAGAAGAAATAAAAAGGGCAAGATAGACGTCACTATAATCTCCCTTCACATAATGAAGTTGCAGTTGTATTTGTTGGTGAAGATGGTGCTCCACCTGCTTCCAGGGAAGTTTTTATTTTCCCAAGAGGTCATCCTCTTAAAATTATATCAAGTATGTCTGCCAAATTAGAGCCTATGGTTTGTTCTCTATTTTTTCCAAGGGGTAATGCTAGTTGGCATAATCAATTGGTTCACAACCCTGAACGTGCTACATTGATTAGAAAGCATGTTACATTATCTCAGTATTACAGTTATAGACTTTTAGTTGGACAATTAACCTCAACAAAAAAAATAGGTGAAGTAATTTTTAGTAGCTTCAGATCACTTAGTTGTTTTTTTTTTTATTATTATTAGAAGGGTTAATAATAAAAAATTTTATTAATTTTTTTTTAATAGACAGTAGAACTGGTAATTATTTTATTAAGTTTGCTATATTTTTTTATTTAATATTTTCATTAGATTTAATAGGTTTATTCCTTTTTAGATATATTATTTAACATGGAAAACTGTCTGATTTGTTGACAAATAAGTTTATATACATATACGTGCATATTACTCAGAATATTTTATATTTCTTTGTATATAAATATATTCTTTTAAAATATATTTATATACACATACTCTTGAATTCCTTTTTTTTTTTTTTGTTACGTTGGAGTAAAATATATTGATTGGTATTGCTTTATTTTTTACACTTTTAGATTATGTATTGTTGTCTAGATTCTTTGTTAATTTACAATTTATTGATGTAAATAAATTTTTATTTTTATTTTTGATAAACAACTTTTATCAAAAATAAAAATAAAAAATTATTTATATCAATAAGGACGCGTAAACTTCCTATTAAATGCTTATCCGCGGTGCTCTGTGATAAGACCTTAAGGACTTCTTGGAGCACCTAAAATTAAATTAATAAAAAAAGTTGTTGAAATATAAGAAATGCTGCTCGGCGAGCAGAAAACTAACTTGCTAGAATTCAGTGTCAAGCGGTGTTAATGTGTGTTTATTTGATTTTATTTTAAACACTTTAAAACAATTTAAATCAAATAGTTTTAAATTTATATGATTTTAATTTTTTTTATAAATTCAAACGTAATTATATTCTTTTTTTTTAGTTGCCTTAGTTTTTTTTTTTATTTTAATTCACCTCCTCAAGGCCGAGAAGGCTACTACAGACGAGGAGGCTACTTATTTGTGGCTATAACCCTCTCTCAACTCTATAACTCTGAAACACGAACCTTGACGAACAAGGCCGCTTCGCGGAGAAACGAGTTGAGCGCGGTACTACCAGGGACGTGGTGGGGATCGAACTCGGAACCACTCGTTTATGAAGCGAGCGCTCTACCACTACACCACTACCACATACTTGATTAGTTCTATCAACACAAAACACATTAACGATAGCGCATAGCATAAGATATTTGTAAGCACACATTACTGTCTCTCCAAAATAATTAAAAAAGACAATGTTATATAAATACCACACCACAAATTAATAAGATATTTTATCAACTAAAATATTTGAGCTAAAAAGATTTTATTAATTACAATATTGAACAATTATATCATAAAATAACAAGCAGCTCATAAAATATTTTATATACATGGTCATTATCAATTGTGGTATTAATAAAACTTATATAGTTACTTTTTTTTAACTAAAAAGTAATTATATAAGTTTTTATGATGCTTAAAATGCTTTTTTTTCCTATTATGTTACATCAAACACGGTATACTTCCATATAAGTATTTGCATGACCTTATGAAATGTAGCACCCAAATTTATGTTTTATTTTAATGTCTATATTATGTTTAATTATTTTTTAATGATTGCATTCCAATAAGTTTTTAAAAAAACTCAGAAAAGTTCCGTTTTACGACCTTTACAATTTACAGTTTTACGAAACTTACAATTTTTAAATGCCCTGCGCCCTCACTAAATAAACTTTTAAAGGAAAAAAAGTTATTCACGTTTCTTCTAATATCCTAATACATAAAAAAAAATTGCGTGCACTCCTAAATCCAAAGTTTGAAAGTACGAACCACGGTACTAGTGGTAGTAGGGTGGTATTTCCAAAGACTCACTAACTTTTCCTCTAAAATAATCTGCTTCTACATCAGAGGCGGAACATCAAGTTTTGCCCCCAACCTGCAATATATTTATTAGGCTCCCACCACAAAGAGAAAAAAATATTTTTATAGAAATATATTTATTGAAAAAACCGTTGCACAACTGAAATCAAATAGATAAATTACAGTATATCTAAAATTGTAAATCTATTGTCTATTTGACTTATATCTAGTAGATATTATCTACACCTAAAACTTTACTAAATACATTTAGGCAATAATGATACTCTTTACCAAAACGATGATTGGTCGATAATTCAATAAAAAAAATTTTAACAACTTTTTTCTATTCTAAGAAAAAGTGGGATTTTTAACAACTTTTTGTCATTTCTAAGAAAAAGTGGGAGGTATCCCATTTAGCCGCCGTTTGAATAACTTCGTCTTTCACTAAATAATACATATTTCTGAACTGTTTTAAATGTTCGCTTGCAACTTGAAATGATTCGGTCGCAGTTATGAGATTTTTTTTTTGTAACAATTTTAATGGTAAATTTACTTCACTCAATTATTTTAATATTTCACGCATAGAAACACAAGTTCAACAAATTCATTGTTTCTGAAGCCTAGACATTTCTTTGCATTCTTTCTTTTTTACTGACTTCTAAAAGATAATTTTGCAAGCGCTTTCATTATATCTACAAAGCAAGGCTTAACTGTCAAAAGTGAAGTGTACCTTCCAGCCCAGCGAGTTGGATTCAATCTTTTCAGTGTTTTTTTAGACTCAACAATAAATTGTGATAATAAGTCACAACCTTTTTACAATTTTTCATTTTTTATTATTTGTAGATATCTAAAAACATGACTTAGCCTTTTTTTGCTATGTCTTGCGAGGTATCCATGATGATTGTACAAAAAGAAGCATTATTAATATTGTTGATTAACGTTGTCTTTAAACGCGTTACAAGACAAAGAATATTTTCATTGTAGGTTTGGTGCTTAAATATTCAAAAGTTCCACGGGCCATATTTAAGGCTTGTTTTGTAATAGTGTCACATTTTGATAAAAGATGTACTTGGGTTAAAAAATTACCACTATATTTATTCTCAAACGATTTTCGATGACCACAGAAAGCTAAACAATTTTTAAAAAGTACTAATGTTATGAACTACGTACTAATGTTAAAAAGTGCAAATGGTAAATTTTACTAATGTTTAAAAGTACTAATTTTCAAAAAGCACAAATGTTAAAAGTACAACTTATGTACTAATGTTAAAAAGTCACTCTAATACTTTTTCCTAAAATTTTGATTCATATCCAATTTTCCTTTCTAAGAATTTATCAATTGCTTCCACTAATCATATATACAACATAACTGCTGACTATTATATGACATATATGACATATATCAACATAACTGCTGATTACAACATAACTGATATTGACTATTTTCGCATCCTTTTAATTTTTTTGAAAGCCATTACCAGTCTCTAATTCCCCGTCTTTGCCACGGAGATTTGAAAGACTAACAAGGTTTGCAATATACCGCATCTAGTTTAGGAGAATAACATTGCGACAACCTCTTAATCGTTCTATACTTTGTCGAAATTTTATAAAATTCTTCTGTCTTATAAAACTCTTCTACGAAATTAAGCAAAAATTTTTGGGCCCCTGCAGTTCACTCCTCCGCAATGCAGGGTTTAGCATAGTGGTAGTTCCGCCGCTGCTCTACTTTAATTGTATTTTTTTTCATTCAGCTAAAAACTTCGTTATTAAAAAAATATTTTTAAATAATAGTTTAATAATAAAACTACAGAAAAAATACAAACTGAATCATTTTAGTAACTGTGTAATAAGATTCTATCTATCGAAATAATTGAATCAAGATTTTATCAATCATATAAATTTAATTATGGCAGTTACTCGAGATGACATTAAAAAATATTGAAGGAAATGTTTAGTGATTACAAAAAACAATTTGAAGAAATCTTGAAACAACAAGAAATAAACATTATAGCCATTGTATGTTCAAGCGCAAAAATGATTCATGACCGCTTGGATAAAGTTGAAAAAAATATAAACGACAATGCCGAACGAGTTAAGTCAATAATAAAAGATGTTGAAAAAATGCAAGCTTAAATTTTTATGAACAGCTTATTGATGATAAAATAAAAACTGCAATTAGTTATCAGGAAAAGATAAATCCATCTGGTAGTGAAACAACTAAATTAAACTCGGAGTTCCTTAATATAAAAAACAAAAAATTTTTATCTTCCATTTCCCTGTGAATAAATGAAAATTTATTCACATTTTTCTGTGAATAAATTTTTATTTATTCACATTATTCACAATAAATTTTCATTTATTCACAGGGAAATGGAAGATCGTTCGAGGCGAAATAACTTAAGAAAAGACGGTGTAAAAAAGAATGAAAACGAACGCTGGGAAGAGACCGAATCAAAGGTAAAAAATTATTTGAAGATTATATAGATGTAAAGAATGTTAAAATAGAACGAGCTCACAGAACTGGCAAGAAAGGTGAAAAAAAGCCAAGAACGATCGTGCTAAAACTCTTGGATTTCAAAGATAAAACAGAAATTCTTAAAAAATCTTTTCATCTGAAAGGAAAAAATATTTTCATCAATGAAGACTTTTGTCCGGAGACCACACAAATAAGAAGAGCTTTAAAAGAAAAGATGAAAGTAGAACGAGCATCTGGGAAATAGGCTGCCATATCGTACGATAGGTTGATCATACGTGATTGGGCCTGCAATCGAAAAAAGAATTAACCCAAACCAGTAAAAATCGGAAACATGTATACTTAGTTGGAGATTTTAACATAAACATTTTAAATTATGCATCAAAAAATGATGCTAAATGCTTTATTGGCACAATTTTGCAAATAATTTTATTCCAACAATAAATAAGGCAACAAGAATAACAAAGACATCGTCAACATTAGTCGACAACTTAATAACAAACAATTTTCACAAATGCTGCGTAAGAACAGAAATAATTAAAACCGACATAAGCGATCATTTTCCTATCTTTCTAACCACTAAAAACATAACATTAAAAAACAATTCCATAAAATCAAAAATATTGGTCCGTCAAATCAATGAAAACTCCAAGCACATTTTTGCCATCTATTAAAAATTCTGTTGATTGGAACTTAGTGTATGAAACACAAAATGCAAATAATGCTTATGAATCGCGTTATAGTAAACGATATAATAAGGCATTTCCTTTAATCGAACAAAATTTAAATTCTAAGTCTATTTTGAATCCGTAGATGACAAAAGGTTTAATCAAATCTTCAAAGAAAAAACAAAAACTATATGAAAAATATCTACGACATAAAACATATCATAATGAAATAATATACAAAAACTACAAAAATTTGTTTGAAAAAACCAAAAGGTTTTCAAAAAAATCTTATTATGAAAATCTATTGGAAAAAATTAATGGAAATACAAAAAAAACTTGGAATATAATAAAAGAAATAATTGATGACAAAAGGTTTAATCAAATCTTCAAAGAAAAAACAAAAACTATATGAAAAACATCTACGACATAAAACATATCATAATGAAATAATATACAAAAACTACAAAAATTTGTTTGAAAAAACCAAAAGGTTTTCAAAAAAATCTTATTATGAAAATCTATTGGAAAAAATTAATGGAAATACAAAAAAAACTTGGAATATAATAAAAGAAATAATTGATGACAAAAGGTTTAATCAAATCTTCAAAGAAAAAACAAAAACTATATGAAAAATATCTACGACATAAAACATATCATAATGAAATAATATACAAAAACTACAAAAATTTGTTTGAAAAAACCAAAAGGTTTTCAAAAAAATCTTATTATGAAAATCTATTGGAAAAAAGTAATGGAAATACAAAAAAAACTTGGAATATAATAAAAGAAATAATTGGCAAAAATATTTCGATTAAAAACAATTTGCCACAAAAACTGTTAATTGATGAAAAAGTTGTTTATGATAAAGAAACCATAGCTGACAAGCTAAACAGTTTTTTTCTTGAAAAAATTCCATTTAGTACCATAAAATTTGAAACTTACCTCAAAACAGCAAATAATGTTATGACAGAACTAAATTTAAATATAAGTGAGTTGCATAATGCTTTTTCCTCTCTGAAAAATAACAAAAGTGCAGGCATAGATAAAATTAGCGTCAATGTAGTTAAATCAGTTTTTGATATTATTGAACCCTTATTGTTTCACATTTTTAATCTCTCATTAACGTCTGGTATTGTACCAGACAAACTTAAAATAGCCAAAGTCACACCGATTTTTAAGTTGGGTGAAAAAACAAATGTTTCAAACTACAGACCTATTTCTGTATTACCTTGTTTCTCTAAATTACTAGAACGCATATGTACAATAGGCTTTATAATCATTTAGTATCAAATAATATTCTGTACAACAAACAATTTGGGTTTAAAAAAAATCATTCTACGGATCACGCGGTAATTGAGCTTGTAAACCATATATCGGACGCTTTTGATAAAGATTATTTTACCTTAGGAGTTTTCATTGATTTATCCAAAGCATTTGACACTATCAATCATGAAATCCTTATAAAAAAATTAGAACTTTTTGGAGTAAACAACTTAAATTTACTTTGGTTTAAAAACTACTTGACTAACAGAAAATAATGCATAACCTATGAAACAAATGAAACCAAAAAAAAACTTATAAGTTATGGGGTTCCTCAAGGATCTATCTTAGGACCATTATTGATTCTAGTGTATATAAATGACTTATTTTTAGCATCTAAAAAATTGTATTTTAAAATGTTTGCTGACGACTCCAATCTGTTTTATTTACACAGAGATATAAAAATTCTTTTTTAAATTTTTAATGAAGAATTATCTAAAGTAAATGAATGGTTTATAAGTAACCGCCTTTCACTAAATGTAGATAAAACTAAATTCATCCTGTTCCACAAACCAAATAAAGTTGATAATACTCCACTTAAACTGCCAAATCTTTTATTTAATAAAACAGATGTAAAAAGAGAATCTGCTATTAACTTTTTAGGCGTAATTCTTGATAAAACCTTGTCATGGAAGTTTCACATCCAATCTATTGAAAGTAAAATCTCTTTTAATATTTCCGTACTTTATAAAACAAAACCATTTTTAAACGCAAAAGCTCTAATGAAAATTTATTTTTCATTTATTCACACCTAACTTTCTTACTGCAACATTCCATGGGGAAGTATGAATTACGGAAAACTCAAAAAACTTTATAGTAAACAAAAGCATGCTTGTAGGATTGTATTTGGGGCAAACAGAACTGTCTATTGCGAACCGCTATTAAATCGTCTCAAGGCCTTAAACATTTATAAACTGAACATTTACCAAACATTACTTTTCATGTTTAAAATGAAACATGGAATATCTCCACTTATATTTTAATCTTATTTTAGCAAAATATCTCATAAGTATCCAACAAAGATTTCAGAGGATAACTTTATTGTTCCGAGAATTAATTTAAAAATAAGTTCTTATCGAATTCAATATCGAGGACCTTTTTTTATGGAAAAATTTTATTAAAAACTTTAATAAAGAACACTACTCTTTAGAAAAATTTAAAACAGTTTCTAAAAAAATCTTACTTCAATTAGATTTTAATTCAATAGACTTTAAATATTTTTTTTAAAAGGTAATTCTAAAATAGAAAAAACGCTTCCATTAGCACTAAATAAATTTTGTTATATGTATCAAATATATTTGTATTAGTATACAAAACTTTCTTTATTTTTAAACTTTTAATATAATTGTCATTTTATTATTTGACAAAAGTTATGTAGTCTTTATAGCTTTTTTGTATATTTTATTCATATTTGTTTATACACACGGACATTTTGTAAACGGGGTTCGGTGATAAGACAGTCATTGTCTTCTTCTTACTCCGGCCAATTTTTGTAAATGTAAAGGCGAGTTTCCACTCATCCGTTTTTTCACGGGAACGGGAAAGGGACGGGAAAAATAATCACGTGGACATGCGTAGAATAACTTTTAGCATGTCTGAAAGAAAACTACGTATGCTCACGTGATTATTTTTCCCTTTCCTATCCCGTTCCCGTGAAAAAACGGATGAGTGGAAACTCACCTTAATATGTCTTAATTGTAAATATATGAAACGGCAAAAAAAAAAAAAAAAAAGACACAATGGCAATTTCTTAAATGTCCCACCACCGCCAAAAAAAAATTTTTTTTTCTTCAAAACTGTATATGATATTGAATGTACTGTATTGAACTGTATATGAATGCGTGTCGAGTGTTTAATTGATAATTTTGTTCATTGATTTTTAGTTTTTTCACAACGTTTTGAATTATTATTTTTATCATGACCATTTTCTATGAACATTTCCGTAAGAAATTCATGGTTTACATGTTCTTTGCTTCATAAGGTAAAAGGCCTTTGGATAAAACCTTTGTGTACCCCATAAATTATTTTTGGATCGTGACAAGAATGTGGCGTTATTTGCACATTTGCTATAGCATCCTTGCGATAGTTATTGGAAAGCTATGTTCCGGAATTATTATTTGTTACTGAGAGTTCAAGAAAACTTATTTTGTGTGAATCACTTTCTTTTTCAAAGGATGTTTTATATATTTTTGTTTCTTTAACGGGTTTTTTTATATTACTTGAATAACGAGGGTATGTATAACCGCTAGAAATATTGAATGTTATAGCAATAAAATAGACAACATTATTATCAAGAATTTCTTAACAATACTGTTAATTATGTATGACTCCTCATATGATCACGAAAAAAATAAACCATTTAAGGATGAAATTAAAATTTGGAAAGTACAAGAATTCCTGCAAGCAATGCATCCTTGTTGGTGAAAATCCACAAAAGAAAAATTTATAAAAAAATCGTTTATTACCCAGTGAGAACAGGACCTAAAAAAGGCGCCTATTGAACGTTCAAAAACGTCCAAAATGTTTAAAAGACGTTTAAAAGAAGTCTTTTAAACTGTGCCCATTGCGTGTGCCAATAAACTTAAATTATCAATTAAAAAAATTTTACAAGAAGAAACTGAAGAAATCAAGTCTTGAGCTTATCAAAAATTATAACTAAATTTAGGTGTCCAGCTCCCCCATCCTTTTTGAAATCGGAAATTGGGTGTTACAAAAAGAAATAGTAATAAAACTATTAACAAACATAAACATTTGGACATTTGAAACTTATGACTTTCTCACTCACAGCTCTAAAGCCTTGAAAGAAGGCATCTATTATTATTATATATATAGACTATATTTTAGATTATATTAGAGACTTTATTCTTCCGACAATGTAACTTCAGTAGCTGTTAATAGTTTATCAGATGCTGTAAAATTTTGTTATTTAAGGTGGTATCCAGCCATTATTTTGGTAAAAAATGAAAAAAAAAAAAAAAAGAAAAATTTGAAAAAATGTTTTTTAGACAATTAAACCTTGGAGAATTCAATAGACAACTCTGGTAATTCTGGTAATAAAAAAAATCTTCAGAATAAACTTAGACATCTGGGATTCACATGGGATACTAAACATTCAGTTTTTGCTTCACTCGGTTATTCAAATGTTGATGAAAAAATATCAAACTTTAGAGCTGTTGTTCAAACTCTTATTCAATCTGGAATCCGGTTTGCCCACCCCAGTTCTATTTCCTATATATATAAATCATTGGCAGTCCCCACCTTAACTTATGTTATGGAGCTATGTGAAAATAATCCTGGTCTGATGAAAAAGCTAGATATAATTGGAAGGAGTGCGCTAAAATCGTTTTTAAATGTTTCGAAACATAGTAAAAACTATATGAATTCGTTATTTAAAATCCAGGAAAATTCAAAAAGTGTTCAACAAAATAAGTTAAACTTTTTCCTTCGACTTCTTAATAACAAAACAACTGCAGACATTATCTTTTCACAACTGCAACACCCGTTATTTCAACATTCGTTTGTTAGTGATATTCAGGAACTATGCCGTCTTCAGATATTAAATTTTCAAAACCTAATTCAAAATAAAAAGAAGGTAAAAATACCACTTTCTAAAAGTAAAATTCCTTCCGAAGTTGAACGAAACTTGAAGTATGCAATAGAGTGCTGGAATGCAAAAGAGCAAAGAGGAGTTTTCAAGCA